AGATCCGACGCGACGCGACGCGACAGCGACCCGCGACACCATTTCGCTTGCGTTTGCTCGACACTTCCTCGACTACGAGCCAGCCGTGCCAGCGCATGCATTCCACCTCCCCAGCCATGCGAGCAGGCGATGCCGTACGAGCTCCGCCTAGCTCAGCAGCTCCTTCTCCTTGAACACGGTCGCTTCAAGCCAGCCCCACGACGTTCTTCTGGGCGCATCCACGACGCGCGCGCCCTCTCAACGTGCACCCGCGCACCGGCTCTGACCCCGCATCTCGGTCAACTTGCTGCTGTCGCCTCGCCGCCACTCCACGCTGCCGGCGCTGCCACGCTCTCTCCGACGACTTTGGCCATTTTGATTTCCGCCACGCCGTCGCCCCACCAGTCTGGCATGGTCTGCGGCCGACCTGATTTGTACTGCGGCTGATCCGCTCCCGTGCGGGACCCACCGTGCACGACCCGTGCGCCGACCAGGCGGCACCAGCTGCGCGAGACGCGTGCGCCAAGTGCCGTCGACGTACTCCGGCCCCATTCGCAGCGGTTGTCCTTCTCCACCCGCTGCAGCCGACGTTCTCCACCCGACCAACTGCGTCCGACCGTCACGTCCCAGCGCGGTCGGTCCACGCTTGACGCGCATTCCGATCATTGTTGGCGTCGTGCGCACCGCCTCTCTGCACCTGCCGTTGCGCTTCTTGGCGCTGGCGACTTCTACATGCGCGTCCGAGCGCACCGTTCGAGAGATCCGTCCCGACGTGGATGCAATCCGTCATGCCCGTGCTGCCGAGTCGTTTTCGTGCGTGGCCGACCGCTCATACACGATCTTGTCGCTCACGTTCGCGACTGGCTGGACCGGCGCGCACGTCGCGCGTTCCGGCCGACCACGGCCAACATCTTGCTTTGACTCCGTCTTGCTCTGACTCCGTCTTGCTCTGACTCCGTCTTGCTCTGACTCCGTCTTGCTCTGACTCCGTCTTGCTCTGACTCTCGGCCACCGGATTTGGCTCTTGCTCCACCGCGTTTTACTGACAAACATGAAGAAAAAAAATATCCGGCGCGGTCGCTTCGTGCCCGTTGGCCACGCTCCCCTCTGGTTCGACTTGCTCGGCACGCGACACCCGTCGCGCACCCGTCACGCTCCCTTGGCGCAATCCTCGCGCACCCTCGCCCACCCCGCACCCGTTCCCCACCCTCTCGCGCGCCCGCCATGCACCCATCGCACACCGTCGACGAGCCGCGCGTCGTGCCGGCTCACGCCTGCAGCTGCAGCACGACGTTGTCGGCGGTCACCATGGTCAGCTTGCCGTCGATGGGATGCGGCGACGTGGTCCCCGACTACCCGTCGCGCGCCCATCGCACAACCTTCGCGCACACCCTCGCCTGTCCCGCACTCCCCACCCTCTCGTGCGCCCGTCTCGCACCCACTGCGCGTCGAGCCGAATCACCACCGCAGCTGCAGGACGATGTTGTCGGCCGTGATCATCGTCGGCTTGTGGATGATCGGATGCAGCGACGTGGTCCCTGACAACTCGTCATAAACATACGGTGGCTCGAGCGGGTCGACGAGCTCGGTCCGGATCCGCACGAGCTGGCGCTCACCGAGCGCCTCCCGGACCTCGGCCTGGACCTGCTCGCGGTACAGGCGGCGGGGAAGATAGGCCTCGGCGATCGGCTCCTCGGCCGCTTGGCGATTGGGACGAGAAATAAAGAAGTTGATCAAGTTCTCCTCGGGGATCGCGATGGTCGTGATCTCGATGCGCTGCATCAGGTGCTCGTAGAGATACGTCGTGCACGTCTTCTTGGAGTAGAGCTCGACCGAGCAGGGCGTCGGCTCAAACAGCGAGACGCGGTGGCCGAGCGACCGCGCCAATTCGCGCATGGCGAGGAGAACCGGAACGTCCTCCCCCTTGTACTTCTGGCAGATCTGCCAGCGACCAATCTCGCCGTGCACGTTCCTGTTTCCTGTACCATCACCATCTGTGAACCCTAGAAACGGAGAGAGACTCAGACCGTCAGTTTCAGTCCCATCATTTCCACAAAAGGACACGCACCGCCCACGGCTGACGCCCTGATACACTCGTTGTCGGCGAGCAGCAGGGCCAAGACCTCGGGGCCGTAGACCTTGGCCTGGAACACGCCGAGCCGTTGAAGCACACGACGGAAAATCGTGTCATGCACGTTGCGCGCCGGGTCCACGTTGACGAGCTTCATTTGCATCATGATTCCGGTCGGCGCGTTGGTCGTGGGGTGGTGCAGGAAGTAGTACATGGCGTTGACGCGCATGCCGAGCGCCGCCGCGTGCTCCTCGAGGCACATGCGCAGCGCAATCCCGCCCTGGTCACGTTTTTGCCAAACCACGCCTTGACGCCGCGCACCGTCCGCCATCCACAAATGCACGATCCAAGAAAGCCGCATGGTCCATGTGCTGTCAGCGAGAATCTGCTCGTGATTGCCGGGCATGCCATTCAGGACCTCGTGCATGACGCTCGACCATGTGGGCACGCTCGTCTACAAGACAGGAAAGCCGATCAGCATGAGCAAGTGCTCCAAAATGAAGAGTAGGAAGCAACGGAATCGCAAGAGAGCGCCAATCAGTGGAACCCGGATCATGTGCGTGATCTTCTTGTGCTTGGAGTGGTTGATGTCGAGGTAGTCGTTGAACTGGTGCACGGCAAGATTCCAGTAGACGATTGAGCCAGCATGTTGGTTGATGAGCGCAGCGACGCGCGCGAGTTCCTAGATCATGGCAGAGACGGGTTCAGGTCTTGTCGTGGTGCGTGCGCGTGCACATCAAAATAGGAAAGATGCACCTGCGGAAGCTCGTCCCACGGAACGCGGATCCGCTGCGTGCCCGGGACAGTGCCACAGGTAGCGATCTGCGGAAAAAAGTCGGGCTTGAACCGGAGCATGGCCATCTTGAGACCAACGTAGCTCGTGCCGGTGCGCATGTAGTCGCGAATGAAATAGCGAGTCGGCGAGCAAACCGTGGCGAGGAAGAGTGGCGCACAGCGGGCCATGGTGATGGTCGGTGCCTGGTACTCGCCCGTGTTGCGCTCGGTGTAGAAGACGTCGACCGTGTAGCACTCGTCATAGACGACGTGGTCGACATAGGTGACGCGCAGCTGCCGCTGGAAAGCATCGAGAATCAGGTCGTCTTCCACGACATCGCCCAGCCGCTTGGTGCTGCGGTCGGCGAGCCGAATGAGCGTATCAGCTCCATAGGCCGCAGTCATGGTCGTTTTCAGGTAGTGGTGCGGTTGTAGCGTCTTGGATGGCCGGGTGTCGCCAGTGTCGTCGATCGTGTCGAGGAGCGGGAGTGGAGCGGGAGAGGGTGGAGTGGAGGTGGAGTGGATGACTCCCGCACTGATCCAGGTTCGAGTCAGATCGGCTCGCCAGATGTTGGGCTGCCTTGAACGCCGTCCTTGCAAATTCAAATGTATTTGACGAAGCACAAGAACAGTAAAGCGCGGGAAAAAGCAAGCTTGACAAATAGGGAGGACTTGGCACGACCCATGGGTCTCGCCACAATCAAGACGGGAACGCATGCAAGAGCCGTGCGGGGGACGACGGTGACAACGAGGAAATGGGAACGGCGGCGGGGGCGGCGACAGCGGGTGCGGGCGCGGCTGGGGCCGCACAGGCGATCGGTACGGGAACGGCGACGCCCAGTGCGGGCGTGGCGACGGGTGGAGAAGGTGCGGGCGGGAGACGCGCGCCAGTGGCGGGCGTAAGAAGCGGGCAGAGATTGACGACGACAAGGGGCACGTCGGCGCAGAGCACGATGTCCGTGGCGAGGCGACACAGGCGAGCGAAACGAGGTCGAGTACGTACGGGCGCGCGCGCTCATGCTGGTCGACCGTCGTCAAAATGCCAGCGAACAGCGAATAGACCGTTGAGACGACAGTCGCGGATGCGAGTCACGGCGCGCGCGCACTCAGCACTGTTGGGACGGTACATAACGTAGGACCTGCGTCCCGGCGGTGGCGGCGAAAGGGCAGGCCGTGCACCTCCACCATCCCCCACTACTGGTGGCCCGTCGTTCGCTGCTGCGTGGACCGGCGGTATCGTTGGAACATCGGTCGCCACCTCTGATCCGTACCCCACTGACGACTCTGTCGCTTTCTTCTCTTCCTCACCTTCTCCGCTGCCGCGCTGGCGCCCCGTGCACGCGGTGCCGGCGTCTTGAGATCTCCAGCATCGTTGCCACCAGCTTCGTTCCCATTTCCTCCAACGGAAATGACCCTGGCGGTCCGCGCATCGGCGATGGCGGCGCCATGACATTGCCCACCATACTGCATCGCGGCAGCTGCACGAACAAAATACCCGGCGACGTGGCGTCGGGTATCCGTCGGGCGATATTTGCTTGCCGTTGCTGGCGGCCTTGGGTTGGGTCGTTTCTCGGTACAAATGAACCGAGTCGGCGACGACTGGCGTCTCCCCCATGTGCGCAACCTCGAACCGTTTCCGGCACTTGGCCGCAACGGGACGCCGGAGAGACGGTGTGATGGACGAGGGGCCGATATAGGTCGGGCACGGGTTAGGAAACCTTGGCCGCTTTCGAGGACGGCGACGGCGCCGGTGACCCGCTGACGACCGGGTGCGGACGGTGGGTGATGCTGGGTTGCTGCTGCCTTGTCGACACGTTGGTTTGCGCGCGGTTAGTCGTGCGGGGAAGCGGTGCTGGTATCGTCTGGGTGTTGGCTGCTGACGAGCTTGCCGCTGACGGCGAAGCAATTGGGCCGCCAGCCTGAGGCGTTGAGAAATGGCACAACGCTATATAGTCCTCCGGTTTGCCTTCAGTCATCACAACCCAGGTTGCGTGGCCGAGCTGGTCAAGGCGGTGGACTTAAGTTCCACTGGTGTCAAGCACCTCTTGGGTTCGAATCCCAACGCAACTAATCATTATTTTTGCACACGTGGCCGAGCGGTCTAAGGCGGTAGACTTAAGTTCCACTGGTGCTCAGCACCTCTTGGGTTCGAACCCCAACGCAACTAATCTTTGTTTTTGCAAGTGGCCGAGTTGGTTAAGGCGGTGGACTTGGGTTCCACTTCAGCACCGCTTGGGCTCGAGCCCCAACGCAACGAACCATTTTCGTCTTTCGCGTGTTGTCTTCGGCCACTATTTTTTTTATTCGTGGCCGAGTTGGTCTAAGGCGGTGGACCCGAGTTCCACTGGTGCCCAGCACCTCTTGGGTTCGAACCCCAACGCCGCTACAATAGTGGGCTTTTTTGCTCCGACCTTGCTGAGTGACTCCTCCACTGCCCGTTCGCTGGCCGAAGATTGATTCCACTTGGTACCAGCTGCACGTCGCCCGCTCTGTTCTACCAAGTTGCAACAGCCCGCAAGTCGATTACTGCTGCACTCCATCCAAGTATCCAAGTTATCTGGAGCTTCCAGTGTCGATGGCGCAGAATTCGCGACTTTACGCTGGCCCACACAATCCTGGCCGCCCACGCGTCTCGCCGAGCCCATCCCCGCCACTGCCCACTGTGCCCGACTTTTCACGTCGCGCCATCATGCCCGCGGCAACCAACACGTCGCTCTTTCCATACGCCAAGCGTCGACGCGGCGAGCCCGCGACAACCACCAATGCTCGCGGTGGCGGCACTGCGCGTCGAGGACGCGGTCGTGGGCGTGGGGGAGCCGGTGCCGGCGCAAAACGCGACGAAACGCCGTCTATTGCCGCCGCGTTCCGCAACAAGCAGGAAGCTGACGCGTGGCGCGCGCTCGAGGACGTGGCGACGGTCGCGGACTTGCGAGACGAGCACTTGGCCGCCGTGTACCGCGCGCACCCGGACATGCATCGCGTGTGTGTGCCGCCCGCCGTATGGATCGCGGACACGACGGATCCCGCAGCGGCGGAGGTTGCGGGGTCGGACACGGTCGCGGTCGATGAAGAAGAGCCGGTGGTCGTGCTCGGCGACGACTTGGAGCGGAAGGACGTGTTTGATGCCGATTCGGAAAGGACGGTGCTCGTCATCCAGGAAAGCGACGATGAGGATGACGACGGGACGTTTGTCGCGGGTTCCGACCAGGGCGCGAAAAGACTGTTTGTCGAAGTTCCAGCAAGTGCGGTTGCTGCGTCCTCGTCGGCAGGTTCGGCGGCGGGGCCGAAATTGCCGTGCAACAAGCGCCAGTGCCAGCAAAACCCGAATTGTTTGCTTCATTTGGGCCTGGCCGAGTGGTTTCGCAAAGGTGCGTCGTTGGTGTCGTTGGTGTTGCGCCAGCTCTGGACGTGGTGTTCTGATCGGGCTTGCCCGCGATAGACGCCAAGGCGCGCTTTGTCGAGCGCGAACTCAAGAGTTTTGGCGCGCACGTCGACCCGGCCTTGCTGCTCGCCGCAACGACCGAGTCGAACGAGCTCGTGGGTGTGGGTCTCGTGAATATCGGCGCGACGTGCTACATCAACAGCCTGCTACAGGTACTGTTGAAGTCGAAGGCCGGTGCGAATGACGCGTGCAGGATCTGACGACCGTCTTCCTCGCCCTTCCTCTGGTGCAGGTTCTGTACTCGGACGTCACGTTCCGAACGCGCGTCTACAAGCACGCACTGGCGTCGCCGCTTCTCGCACAGCTCGGCCGTGTGTTTGCGTTCCTGCAGCAAGGCCATCTCCCGACGTACGCGCCGCGCGAGCTGATCCAGTACCTGGAGATCAACCCGGGCGTGCAGCAGGACGCGCAAGAGTTTGGCAAGCTCTTGCTGCAGGTCATCGAGGAGCAATGTCCCGCGTTTGACCAGCCGATGCACGTCCGTCTCGATATTTCCTCTGCTGCCGCGGCTGCATTTGCTTCTGACCGCTCACAACCACTCCGTTCACCACTCTCCAGCTCGGCGGCACGTCCAAGTACGTGACCGAGTGCCAAGGCTGCGGCACCGCGACGCGATCCGCGCCGAGCCGATTCCACGAACTCGTGCTCAGTCCGACTGCGCGTCTGCAGAACACGGTCGAGGGCATGCTTGACACGTTGTTTTCGGCCGAGCGCATGACGGACAGCAACCAAGTGCAGTGCGCAACGTGCGGGTGCAAGCAGGACGTGGACCGGCGCATGGAAGTCGACAAGCTCGGCAACGTGCTGTGCCTGCAAGTCTCGCGGTTCGCGTTTGACCCGAAAACCATGACCAAGAAAAAGAACCAGCACGCGATCCGAATCCCGCACCAGCTCGTCGGCATGGCCGCGATCCCGGGCGACTGGGTACTCACGGGCATGGTTATGCACAAGGGCACGAGCGCCGATTACGGGCACTACACGGCTCAACTGCGCCCGCGCGCCGACGGGCCCTGGCTGGGTCTCGACGACGACAAGTGCATGGTCATGGCAGATCCGCCGGACCCGCTCGGGTCCAAGGAGGCCTACCTCTTGTTCTACACGCGCGCCGAGCTCGTCGTGCATCCGCCGCCCGTCCCGGAACCGCCGCAACTCGATGTACTGGCGGTGCAAATGGAGGTGGACGACTACCTCGCCAAGAAACGGCAGTCGCAGGCGCAGTACGATTATGATGCGTCGTCCAACGTTTGCGTTGTCGGCAGGCTTGCTAATTCTCGGCTCGTGTTGCGTTTGTAGAATTGACCAGGTCGTCGAGGACTTTCAGCACTCGTTCAAGCTGCGACGAACCATTTTCGCCGATTTGCTGCTCCAGCGCATCGACGTACGTGTCTTCTTTGATCCACGTACTCTCTGATCCGCGCGACACCTCACCTCAGCGCTCTCCACCAGGACCCCTGCGCCTACATTCCTACCGCCTACCTTGAACAAGTTTTCGCGATCGACCCACTCATCCGCCAAATGCCGCCGCTCGACATGACCGCATTCCAGTGCCAGCACCACCGGCTCGATCCGCGCGTGCTTGGGCAAGTAAAGCGCATCGCACTCGCCGCCGCGCACAAGTACACGCAACCCGTCGGCGCATTCCTCGACCACGAGTCGGGTCCGTGCCGCGATTGTGTTGCCGCCGTTGTACACGACCACCAGCAGCGGCGTATGGGCCGCAGCGCGTTCGACGACTGGGACGCGGCGGCGCTCGACGGCGACCCGCACGCCGCGTGGGTGCCGAAAGCCTGGGCCGCCGATGTGAACCGCACGCGCGTCGTCTCGGACCCGAACGAGCAGGCACTGGCGCTCTATTGCCAGCACGGGAAATTGGCGCCGGGACCGCAGCGGATCGCCGTGTCGGACGCGCAGGTCGCGCTCCTAGCGGTTTTGTACCCGCACGTACACTTGCCGCGCATGACCGAGACGGTGTGCCCGGACTGCGCGGCCGTGCACGCGGCGATGCAGGCGTCGCTCAACGACTCGCGCGAGCAGGCGGCGCGCGAATTGGCCGAGTTCCCGCATCTCCTGCGCGTGCCGTCTCTGCAAGACGAGTTACCACCGGTGCCCGAGAACCACGTTCTTGTCGAGGGCGGGTTTGTGGAATCGTGGCGAGCGTGGGCCAAGCAGCCGGATACGGCGACGCGGCCGAGAGCCATTGATGGCACGCGGCTCCTGTGCGAGCACGGCAAGTTGCACGTCGATCCGCACGCCAAGCTCGACCGCAGTCTCGCGCTGTTTGTCCCTGTGAGTCGCGGAATGTGGGAGCGGATTACTGAGCTGTTCCCCGTCGATGGCGACCTGGTTCTCGACAACTCGTTTGAGGTCTGCGCCGAGTGCCGTGTTCCGTGGCTCATTCAAACGTGCGGCAACTTCGAGCTGGAAATCACCATCGAGCGCGCTTCCGACATTGCCTCGGTCGGCGCGACGACGGCGACCGGGCGCAAGCGCCGGCGCGCGGATAAGACGGAGGTGCTGATCAAGATCACCGAGACGCTGCGCGATGCCAAGATGTCGGTGCGTGATGCGTTCAAGTCCCTGATTTGACAGTCTTTCATGCTTGCGCTGACTCCTAGTCGTTCTCCCTTCCACCAGCTGATTGAATTCGCCGGCGTCTATCCAATGGACCAGCGGCTCTTCTTTAACGGCGTCGAGCTCACTGACATGTCCGCGACGATCCTGCAGCTCGATCTCTACAACGGTTGCGTTCTGACGCTCGCCGTCGACCAGGCGCGCGACACGTCGCCCGACCGGAACGGCGAGCGTGCGCGTGAAGTCGGGTTCACGGGCCTCTTGCAGCGCGGGCGCGGCAGTGGCGGTGAGAGCAGCGCACTGCCGCCCGTTCCGCAAGCCCCTCCGCCTCGGCCCGAGCCCGTGCCAGACCGGACCGTGGTGCTAGAGCTGACCACCGACGAGAAGGAGGCCGAAGAGGACATGATGGCGATGCTCGTGGACGTGGATGTGGACATAGACGCGCGACAGGTCCCGTGCCCAACGTGCACGTTCCTGAACTCGGCCCTCGTGCAGGTGTGCGAGGTGTGCGAGAACCCGCTGTGATGGGAGCTGGCGGAGAAGAGAAGGGGGGCGGATGGGTTTGTTGTCCAATCAATACCAATCACATTATCAATACACGCCGGATCAAAAAGGGAATGGTCGACTGGTTGGTGGCAGGGCAGATTCGCGGAGCGGGCACACATCGACGAAGACACAGAAAGCCAGCAAAATGGCACGGCGGTCGTCATCCTCTGCCGCCGCGAGCCTCGCGCCGCCGCAGGCGCTGCAGCCGTTCGAGCGCGGCCTCGATGATTCCGAACACGGGGCCCGGGGTATACTCGTCAGTGGGCGCACCGCGGTCCGCGGCATAGTAGGGCGACGCCGGGTGCGTGATGCCCGGGGCCGCAACAGCGTGCCGCGCGCGATTGAGTTCGTCGAGCAGCAGCCGACGGAAGGCGGTGCCTTCGCGGTGCTGGAAGACGGGAAAGAGCGGCATGAGCAGTTCCGTGGCCGCGTACGGGTGGCCGAACATGTGTTGCGCAACGTCGGCGTAGTCTGTGTACGAGATGACGAAGAAAACGTCAGCGTTGGGTCTTGTGTGGTCGCGAGGGCGGTGGAGAAGGGACGGACATGCGTATTCAAGGACGAGCTGGTCGCGGTCCACGTCGTGCGCGCTGCACGATGGGTCACGAATCACGTCGAGCAGGCCAAGAGGGTTCCCGACTATCGAACGGCCCAGAACGACACCATCGACGTGGCCCTGCGCCGCATGCCGGCGCAC